CACTGAGATTACTTCCTACATCGCAAACAATGGTAATGATAGAAAGGAAGGCTCTGTTCACTCTCCTGCTTGTAATAAAAAGGAGAAGGGCCTGCGGTTGAGTGCTCCTTCGCAGGAAACGCTGATTATTGCCTTCCATTAACGAGGGCACTGAGATTTGGGATTTGATCGACCAACACAGCACAATGGGTTATAAGGACCGAACTGGATTTCTGCTTTCAGATCTTTCGAATTTCAGTTGGCTGACAGTAAAAAAGAAGGATATGGATGATTTCTCATCTCATTGTTGAATGGTCACCATGTATCCTCCTCTAGCAAAGTCTCGGTTCTTGAGGGATACAAGATTTGATTCGAGAAGCATGGTCCAAAAGTCGAATCCTGCCGGCTCAAGCTACCAGACCATCCATCTCTCTGGGGTCCATTAATTGGTACCAGAAATGTTGTGGAAGATAAAAGCGCTGTTTTGCACATCGGCTGACCACCACAATCATTGTATAGGCCAAGTAAGCATTCAAAACGACCCTACGATTCCGGATGAACTTAAATGCGGGGGTGGACCCCAAACTGGTCGTTCTATTCGTGAATATGTGTAAAACTCATTATTTATTTGCTCCCATGAGTAGGTGAGTCAGGATTCAACTCAGATGTTACCCTTTCTTCGACGGAATAATCAAAAGGTCAACAACCCCCAGTGTTTTCGTTCCACTATCACCATCTTTTTTCCTGAATCAGGGCCTTTTTTGATTCGACTCGGACAATTTTTCCAAACGATGATATGACCTCTGTACAGCCCGTCAATCAGTAAGGATGTTGAGACCACATGGAGCGTCCTGTTCCCGTCCCTAAGCTAGAATGGTAAGCTTAGAGGGAGTTACTCATCAGCATCTCGATTTGATCTGACTTTTACGATAACTTAAAGTATCCGATGTTTGGATCGATACCGTCGTCCTGGGTAATATTTATACCAGCTCATACCTTGTTTGGACGTGGTTTCATTTAAGCAAAGTGTTGTTATACTGCTTTTTCTGAACCAGCAATGATGGATGCTTAGCAACAGCAATAGACTTTTTTGGGGGTTCATTCCCTTTAGTGAGATCAGACGATAAGGTGATTTATAGGTATTTCAGGGACTTTCCTTTTCTTGTTTTTGCTGTTCCGGAAACTGAATCCCACATTGACTAACCCCTTGGGAACACTACAATAAAGATTGAAAAGGATCTTCAGTAGCACTTTCCATAAAGATTCTTTACCGGGTGGGTATAGGGTTCCGACTCACGTCATTTTATGGTAGGACGTAGTACAAGTAAGTTAGGCCGTAAACCTTTGTTACTATCATAGCCCTTCCACGTCTGCACTTTCAACCCCAGTAGTCCGCCTTCCTAGATCGAACAGTCCGAGATAGCTGTACGAGGTGGCCGTTGCAAACACCTATGACGAATATAGGATGCCCACGTATTTCCTCCCAGACGGCTATATTGATAAGCAACTCAATTAAGCGCTTCATAAACAGATTAGCCTTATTTTTTCCCGGCCTTAAGTAATCTGTATAATAGAGAGGGTATATTTGGAAAGCAGATGATATCACCTGGAATTCATGATGCGAGTTAAATTCCTCCAAAAGGTCATGAAAATGTTTGGCTGGCCGAGCCCAAGCTTCACAACAAGTTGAAGGGCAGGTTGATATAGACATTGTCAACAGCGCGATGGCCGAGTGGTTAAGGCGTTGGACTTAAGTTCCAATGGACGTAAGTCCTCGTGGGTTCGAACCCCACTCGCGCTAAATATTTGCATAGTTGAAGTGCATTGTGTTATGTCGTCTGCTGTCCAGGAGAGTATCCATTAAAAAACCTCATCTCACGTCTACCAAGAAGGCTGCAAACTGCTTCTGGAAATTAGCTTTTCTGAACTTCATGACCCTTGTTCCATGGAAAATCTTCCTGTTTATGGCTTTTTATAGTGTTTTTTGACTTTATTTCAGCGAAATCGCTTAATTCGAGATAGGAACCAGGCAATGTTGGAGAGTGTTTGAATCGAGTTGAAGGAAGTTACGGGTGCGAGCCATTTATGTCCAGCTGTATTGTATTTGTGAGGCTGAACTCACGGCAACGCGCTTGTTGGACTCTATCCAGCCAGGATTACTCAAAAGAGTTCCAATAACTCTAGGAGCCCCCATAGGTTTCGAGTGAAGTCTATGATTTCTAGCAGCGATGTTGTCTAGCAATATATTGGAAACATAAGACTATCACGACAATGACAAATGAGAGAGCAGAAAAAGCTTCGTATTCGAGCTACAAGCAGGACAGGAATTGTCATTCGGAGCGGTCACTAGAACTCCTGCATAAATATACTTCTGAATTGTTGGATTTGGGTCCTCTTTCACCCAGCTTTAAGCTAGGAACCAGGCAATGTTGGAGAGTGTTTGAATCGAGTTGAAGGAAGTTACGGGTGCGAGCCATTTATGTCCAGCTGTATTGTATTTGTGAGGCTGAACTCACGGCAATGCGCTTGTTGGACTCTATCCAGCCAGGATTACTCAAAAGAGTTCCAATAACTCTAGGAGCCCCCATAGGTTTCGAGTGAAGTCTATGATTTCTAGCAGCGATGTTGTCTAGCAATATATTGGAAACATAAGACTTTCACGACAATGACAAATGAGAGAAAAAAAGCTTCGTATCCGAGCTACAAGCAGGACAGGAATTGTCATTCGGAGCGGTCATTAGGACTCCTGCATAAATATACTTCTGAATTGTTGGATTTGGGTCCTCTTTCACCCAGCTTTAAGCTTAGGTGGTCGAAATCGCCCGAACCCATCGTCCGCAGAGATATTGAACTTCACTCTTTATAGAGCTAAGTTCACCGAGGGACAGGTAGGGAGCAACGCATGAGTAACCTTCAGCGTGAAACTCAATTTGCTCAGGAAAAAGAAAATTTGTTTGGAAAATCTTCCCTTTTCATTAAGAAGCTCCTAAGGAAGGAAGCAACTCTTCGGAGAGACGATGTGTAGACACAAAACGTTTGAATCACCAAGGGAGTTCCGAATTTTCCTCTTGGGACTGAGCTCTTTTATATGGTCCTGCACTGCGGTCCTGGATCAACTCAATGTGCGGAACAGGGGATAGGGAGGAGGGAGTGGGGGAAGGAGGAAATTCCCGCCGTTTTCGGGGAATAAGGACGATGCCACTCCTAAGTGGTCCAAGTGGTTTCTTTTGTTCCAGTTAGTCCAGAAAATTTATCAGAAGAAGAAAACTCACCACAGGCTCATTTGCTCTGGCGTTGCAGCCCATTTTTTCAAACGTGGATGGAGGCTGAAAATGTTGGTTGAGCCTTGATATGTTGACTTGAAACTCAAATTAAAACAACTCAATTAAGTAGGGCTGAAAAAAGCTCACAGCCGTGCTAAATCCAGTTGTTGCTGCCTGCTCAGAGCGCTAATTAATGAGGCTAAACTGACGATAAGGAAAGTCAGTACCCATCGAGACGGCATGCCGACTACACGAAGTAGTTCCGCTGCCGCCTTCTTTCCCGTGGCCCAGCCCAGCCCCGCCCACCTCACGTCATCTTTTAAAAATTCATGTGTAATACGATCCTTCATGGGCACATTTCCTCTATTATACGTGCTCAATAACGAAATAAATGTAGCAATAAATATAAACAAATTAAAATAATTGGATAGAAGTTCCGTTGCTGATTAATAACCACTTCCCATAATATTAAACAACGCACATCCTATATCTTTTGCTTAAAAGCAGTAGCAGTAAACAAGCATTTTTCTCATCATGACTAACTACTTTTCAAGCTAACAAGGCGTACACGGCTTATCCAACGCTTAGAATAAGTGTGTAGGTCCAAACGGCTACTCTTGAAGTGGTGTAGCGGCAAATGGCGCACTACCGCATACACATGGTCACGGGTTTAAATTTCGGATCGATACCTGCCTTGGCCAACCAGTCTATCCATCTCTCCGGGATTGGTCAACTGGTACCAGATTGGTCTGGATGGATAAAAGTACTGAATCGAACATCTGGTGGTCATCGCAAATCATTGCATAGGCCACATACGCATTCTATACGCCACTGCGATTCTGTGAGAAGTCGAATGCGGGGCGCATTCCTCAGACGAGGTTGATCAGAGCTTATTTCAGGTCAAAGTCTTTTTTCATTCTTACTCTCTCTATTCTTGAACGTCAGTTATGGATTCCGACCGCCGATTAATACCGATTGTTTCATCCTTCAGCGGATATTCAGTACAGGTGTATGAGATAGTGTAGTGTAGTATTTGCGCCTAGGGGTCGTGGACGTGAAATTGGCATTCTTCCAGTTTTTCGGGAGCTCAGGGATTGGTATTCTTGGCCGGCATTCCCGAGCACGGCCATTAACCATGCGGGTCATGTTCCCCTGGGCAATGCGCTATTACAACTTGGTCCAGCTCAATAGAGCAAAGTGCTCGTAACTCACCTTGCCTTATCTCAGTTACCACCCGGGAGAAAAAAGTGTGAAAATTCGTTGAAATGAGCTAAGTCCAAGTCTGACGTCTTACATAATAACTTTACCTCAAACCCTATCAGGCTGAGGCTAACTCGACTAAAAGAGAAAACCTTGTCGAATATGACTGATAATTACATTCGCTGCAGCAGATTACATTTCATCTCTGCAAATATCTAGCGCGAGTGGGGTTCGAACCCACGAGGACTTACGTCCATTGGAACTTAAGTCCAACGCCTTAACCACTCGGCCATCGCGCTGCGTGAGTTTGGGCGCGGCTCAGGTTTCATGTACTTTCGAAGTTTCTCAGATATAAAGTCTTCCAGATGTCCTCTGTTTGACCTTATGTCTCAAAGCACTTCATTACCCATGTCTGTTAATGTTTTGATTATAGTAATTGTTAAAATGGGCTATTGTATTGGACTTTTGTACTAGAAAATGCTTTTCAACCTAAGGTCTCTTGCCCTTTTTTCTGTTCAATTAGAGGTAACGAAGCTCCCGATAATAAGTTGTGTTTTCAGGTTGGGAAGTAAGGGATACATGGAGACGACACTGCTATTGGGGACCAAGTGGATGTAAAGAAGAACTTCCCGAAGGCCAGGTAATGTTGGTGTTGGTGTTTATTACTGGTTTGCCGTCGGACAGAATCTGCACCTTTCACTCTCACCATTCATTGTTCCCATTCTGAAAGCTCTTCCTTACCCGTTTTGATCTTTGAATTAAGGTTGTGTAGGCTGCTTGTTCACCACAGATTAACGCTTCGAGGCATCTTCTCGTGGATGCCCTGGGGCTGGGCTATTCATGTGGGAGGTGGACATGCTTTCGTATCGACATTGCGAGGACTTTGAGGCATTACTAGTTGCGCCCTTGTTGGTCCACTTTAGCAGTTATGTCTATCGCCCACAAAAAGGTCTCGTTACGGGATGAGCCTGAATTCAATGAAAAGATACCTTGGTTTCGAGCCATGCGCTCACTCTCAGACTGGACTCACCGCTGCACATGAGCATCCTGTCAATCTCATCAGCGTCTACTTGTTTGTTACCCCAAAAGAGACTCCCAAGCCTTCGACCTCTTCTTAGGCATTCACCTATTAGGTTATTCGGGAAGTGTTTATGAGAAAAGTTCGCGCTGGTCTTATACCACTATTAAGGGTATTATCTACCATACTTGCGTAAGAAAGTGGGCCATTCATAGGGGACTCGAGCCCACAACTGTGCCATTCTTCCAACAGCTTAACCCGTAGCTATTACTCCTCCTTTGACTCGAGTATCATTCGTTCACGACTCAAGATAATGAAATTTTGTCCCAGTTTGAATTGAATTATTATTTATGGTTAAAAAACCATTACATTAGATTAACGGCGCAATTCACTACCAAGTAAATTCCAGAGGTTATTCAATGGGATTAAGCTTTGTTCCCTATAGACTGGTATTGAGCTCTACCGTGGCGATTTATGGTGTCACCCTTTCAAGATTACTTCCCACCTTGGCTACGCCACATGTCGACTAAACAGGGAATGAACCTTCTTCTCAGAAACTTTCGGAATCAGTCCAATTGTGAACTGGGTTTCTTAAAAATCTCTTCAAACCTATGGGAGAAACGGTAATCGTGGAGCTATCTCAACTGAGATTGCACTCGGGAATTAAGCGCTGTCCTAATCCGGGGATTCAGAGGTAGCATTTGGCCATTCGAGGAACAGGGGGTCGCGGATTAAGTGGGCATATGATAGTATTCAAGAAACTTCCGGTTTCTCTGGGCCACCATATACTTTTACCGCTCAGGACACGATTTTTCAGTCCTGTGAAAGCAAAGCGAAGCTCCATTTCGATGTAAATCGCTGAGCTTGAGAAAACGTTCGTCGATTCTCCTCAGAATGCTTCTGCTGTGCTTCCATTCCTAGTTCCCATTTCCTGGTTCTATCCCATTTCCTAGTTCTGCACATAGTCCCGCTATGGAGGCATTTTATCTTTGCCACGATTCTAAGTCTGAAACCATAAGTCCAGGCTCTTGCAAGCATCTTGACTTATGGTTCCAAATTATAAAGTCAAAAGTAGTATGAGCATTTTATTGGCTCGTAAATCACCGTATATATACAAAGGCGATTTCCGACAAGTCTTTTTTGTGGAGGACAAAACTGAATTGGTTTCCGTCATCAATCTGGCTTGACGTCAGGCCGATTGGCTATTTGACTGCTTTCATTTAACATAGACTCCAAAAAACAGTCTTATCTACACGATGCTGGAAAAGGTTGTTTTCAGTATTGCTACATCATGTTTAGCCCAAAGGGCAAGAGAAGCTCGTCTAAATCTCAGACAGTACTATTTTGAACAGATTATTCCTGGGACGGAAGTAACCTTTATGAGACTTCTGGTATTGCTGGAATAGCCGGCATAGAGAGGAGCAGTAGGCGACTTAGCCAAAAGAAGTTCTATTCCTAAGAAAGAATGAAGGATTAAGTCCTTCGAGGTCGAAATTTGGGGGGGAGAGGGGAGGGGGGGGGGGGGGGGGGGG